ATCTTGCGCTACATGCTTTAGTCATGTCTGTTTTTGGATTTTGCAAGAAAGTGAAATTGCAACATTAACTGAATCCTCAGAATATCTCTATCATCAATTACTGCAACATGTATCAAGGCTAATGGCCACTTTAAAAAGATCCTAAAAGCTTTGATGTCGTATTTCAGAAAACTGATTTGGGAATAAAGACTTAGTAATTAACTGAGTCAATATTGAAAATTAGGAGATTAATCCCCCAAAAAAGTTTTTTTAATGTTTTATTTTAAGCGACCCTAGGATATCTGGATGAGACTCACACCACAACACAAATAAGGGTGATGCCTTTTTTGCTCCCCCTATCGCGGATTGCTCTCCTTCTTCCTTCCTCAAAGAGAGAGAAATAAAATAAATCCTGAAATTGGAGAAGTTAAGACTAAAGGATAGGTAAGACTACTTTAAAATAAAAAAATTTGTCCAGTTATTTGATAGAACAGGAATTTTTCTGTCTTGGATGATATACCCAACTTATTACCATATTGTGAATCTGCTTTATACAAGTTAGTAGTGCTTATGATTTTAACTTAAAATTTCGTTCTACCGTGTTTATCAATGATCCTTTGAAAAATAAAAATAAATTCGGCTTTTGATAATCATAAGCGCAGCACCCCGAGACTTTCCTAAAGATGAAAGCTGACAATACTCTGAGTGAAAATGCATTGCCGACCTACAGAAGGGCTGGCTTAAAGGGTTAGGCTTCCCGACAGAGACACAATAGCAGGGCCCCTAAGTGGCCCCTTTACCAAAACAAAGAGTTAAAGTATTCCATGAGGGTAGTAAGAAGGAAATGTTACCATGGTAACTTTGAGAATGCATGTTAGTGGCTGATATCACTAGGCGAATAGCATTTTAAAAGTATTAAAGTGCTATAACTGGATATTCTTGCATCATGAAAATTCCACGAATGGCATTATTTTGTCTGCATTTATTTCCCTCTTGGTATAGGAAGTGCCAGTGAGAGAAGTTATCAAACCATTGCCCAGGAAAAGAAAGTCCTGGTTGTTTCAAAATTACCGCCCAGTCTATCTCTCAGGTAACCTTGAATGTTGTGAATTAAATTTTACATAGTACTTTATTTTCTCCCACTCTGCCAGTGTGAATTTCAAGGCTGCTTAATGAAAGTACTATTCATCGTGAGCAATCACGAAGGTTAATTTAGGTTAATTTATCAAACAATTTACTAGGTGCCAATTTATTAATGATCACATACGGAATCTGAAGAAAGTGTGTACAGGTTTAACTAAGTGTCCAGACATTATTAAGTAGTAATTTTATTTGTCTTGGTTTAAACGCCCCCTTTTGATGGTGTCATATGGGCAGTCATTTATCAAATGGTCACTTGTATGAAGCTGTAAAGGAGGACAAAAACACAGAAAACGTTCGCATCTATGCTTGCAACATCTACCCAGCTTTTTTGCTTGATCGGTCAGCATCACTTGCGTGTCCACTTAGACAAACTTGATAGAGTGGTAAGACCTAATCAGGCACGATGTCATATTCAACCACAACTGCCTGACTCGGATTATTACTTGCTTTTTGGCTGACAAATTGCCTACAAACCAATTTTTATTTTACCTGACCTATTATGAATTCTCTGCTAAGGTTTTACAACGCATTTGGGATGCATAAATAAATTATTGTGACCTGCCACCCACGGCAGCATTAGGTGTATAAAACTGAGTTTTGTGCGTTCAAATTTACAGATTTCTTAAATAATTAAAGTAGAAGCACCCCTTTTTATTGCAAATAAGTGGTACATTTGCATATTTCGTGAGATAATTTTCCATGAGAAAAGTGCGTTTAATATCGCGTGTGTATGCACTATAATGCCCCTCAATCCTCTTGTGTACATTCAAGTAACTCTTTGAACTACAATGTAACAGTTTGCCCAAATTTATTTTGCCTATAGAGATGCTCCCGTGTGAGTGAGCTAAAAAAACAGGAATTTAAGCAGACTGATTTTATTAAGCTAACATGACTCCACCAAATGAGTAAATGAACAAGATATGATTCCGTTCCCCTTATCAAAAAAGCGCTGCTTGAGAATGTAACACGATCTCATTTTTGTCTTCGCAAAAAGTTAAGAAACACCCAAAAATAGGTTTATTAAATCGCTATTGCAACATTAAAACTAAAACTTGAATGTCAGAAAAGTTTTGAGGCAATGTTTTGCAGAAAATTTTGACTTATAGTGTCTTGAGAATGTGTCCGATATTTTTTTGTGGATTGGGAGTTTGTACTTAATCTGAGCATATCGCTCTCCTTTGAAAGCGCTCAGTAAGCAGCTTCTATACTACTTAGTCTAGCTAATAGGCGCAAAAACATATAGCGCTTAGGAAGATCGGTTGAGTCCTCACCGCTATTTCGCAACGCTTCTACTTCAAAGGGCGGTAGCTCAACCCAATCCATCCCCTCTAACGCTTTAATGATAGGTTGCATCTGGTGAAAATATGTCATCATCATAAATTCACCAGTTATTCTACTTCCTAATAAACCTTCCAATAAAACAGAAGAGTCGCCTTTTTTATAAAAGCCAAGGCACTTATGATTAAGCAATTTTTAGGTCCTATGGATGATCTCTTCTCAAAGGAAACGAAGAGAGCAGACAATTTTATAACATTTAGGTTGTAAACGTTTTGAGGGAGATGAGAAGACATTCCACTTGCTTAAGAATGATTGAAAAGACTCTTTTAACCCCACTAAACATCCAAAAATCTGCTTGTTAAATCAGCTAGTATTAACTCTACGCGATTATATAACAAGCAAGCTTGTGTTTGTTTGCAGTTTGTAGTTTGCTTCAAAGTACTTCCTCCATTTCATTTCCCTGCTAAACTTTAGCTGTCAGTGACATTATTCAATACCAAAACCTCACTCTTCACTAATATACCTTCCTAAATGGAAACGAAGGAGTCTTGTAAGTGTACTTAAAGGGAAAGGGAAAACGACAGGATTAACATCTGGATTTTTTCTGCTTCCCTAATCACATCGAAGTTAATTTAACATTAAAATATCATTCAGGCAATTTCGATATAGTAGAGGTTTTAACCTCCACCTATCAGAGAGCAGTAGGCTACCAAAATTGTTAATTTTTTGTTTTTCCAGGTCGCCGCTTTGACATTGGGCTTTTGTCAGACTCTGTGTAATTTATTTTTTTAGCAAAAAATCAAGTTGTAGTGGTTCCGAAGGTTTCTTACAAACTTCCTCCACCTACAATATTCAATCAAAAATTCCTCGTAATGAACAAATTCAAATGAGGCTCCAAGGTGGTGCTATCGAGATAAGAAATCTCCATTAAATTTACTCAAAATTTAGTTCAAGTTTCGTCTTTTTATGCTTTTTAAGACAATTTTACGGTTTTTCCTCAGTTCTTTTATGAAATTCGATTATTGATACGTTTTATTACCTGTTTTATGCTTGGCATTCTTGTTATAAACTCCAGGTAATCTCAAAACACTAATAATTTGGCGATGCGGTGGAATGCCTCCTAATGCCTTCATTTTGCAACCCATTTTGGTATTTTCAGGTAAGCATGCCGAACAGAGCTGTTCAATTTTTAAATAAAATTATGGTTGGCGGACAAATTCTTAACTAACTGTTAATTTAACAGCAATTTCGCAGATTTAGCTGACGCACGGAAAGGTTGAGATTTATCTTATGAATTTTAGCCTTTACAGAATCATATAGGATTAAAAATCAAAATCTAACAGTTAATGCTAAAAAAACAAGTTCTCAATAAGGCATTTGATTGGTCCTGCCTTCTCGAGAGAAAAATATTGCGTTTTGAAGGTAAGAGGGGATTTACGGTGTAAGCTGCTCTTTTCCGAGTGAGCTTTTTTTACAACAAAACAAAATGCTAGTCTAATTCGCAAGATACTGGTAGATTTCGAGTCTTTATTTTTACTGAAGCGAAAACAAGGTCCTGTTTTAATTAAGATTTCGAGTCCCAATGTAGTTCATTAATTTTGACCTTTTTCCAGGTCTCGTGAGGCCACTTTTGGACCACGTCTCTAAGGGACTATAAATCCCAAAAATAATGATCATCAAACTCTTTCTTTTTGCTTCTCGTCACTTTTCTGTCCATAAAAGAACGCATAAAATTCGTCGCTGTTGCTTAAACTACACAAAGCTAACTGTACTTCCCACTTAATTTACTCTTCCACTGTAATAATATCATGCTGATTCTAGTTTTGCTTTAATTTTTTTCAAAAAATTGCGATAAATGGAAATGCTTAGCTGTTTAAGAATTTTTTGTAATAGTCCTTTCCATACTTTGAACATATTTTCCTCACGTTGATATCACTCGATTATAAAAGAAACAATTCCTTTCACGGAAATCCCTAAATGTAAAATTTATCATGCAACTGAAATCAGTACAACTGCATAAACAAAGAGTGTCTTTTTGAAGTTTCTTTAAATTTTATAATTCATGTAGTCGTTTGGTTACCCCCTCTATTCCCTTTTGCCCAATCAACTGTTTATGCGGATATATTTGCAGCCTACGAAATATTTAACAGTTAAGTGGAAAACTTATTTCTGTCAAAGGCAACTTATCTTGATGTTTCAAACCAATATTTCCGCAAAATATATCCATTCGAATATTTTCCAAGAAGTAAAATGCTGCTTGTCTTGGATTGGTCCTCTTGATCACCACCATCAGTACCTCATTGGGTTGAGACCCCACCAGTCAGCCAATAGAAAATGTAGTAGGCTATACCGCCGGACCTATATAAACGGAACCGGTTTGAGTTCACTCAAATTCACCGTATTTGCACCTGGTCTCCATACAGTCAATCTTGCATAATGAAACTTTGTTTTCTCCTGGTCTGTATAGTTAGTCTGGTAATAGTTGAAAGTGGTGAAGCCGGTAAGTCATTTCTGGCTACTTCCTTGTCACCTAAACCAATCGCGGTATACTAAAAAAAATTCAACAGCATTTATTTCTCAGAAGTGAATAAAAGTAGAGAATGGGAAGTGAGAGTCCCCATTACACCTGCCCACCAATTTTAGATAATACCCACACTTGCGGATTTGTAAAATTTTACAAAGAATTTGCATTAATATTTTGCTGTTTTCTTTTGACAAATAAAGGCGAGGGAGGGCATTTAATGTCCAAGCGAGGTTTACACTTCTTCCGACTCCGAAGATCGTCTCACTGCGTTGATATGGATTCCGAAACACTTCGTCAAATTCTCGTAGGTGTTTCATTTGATAATAATGACTTAAGTTCAAGCTTAACAAGTTGGTGCTGAATTTACTTTTTTCTCCCTTTCTCTCTGCAAGTTATAAAATCCTGATTAACTTAGTTATATCATATTTAGACAAAAAAATTTGCATAAATTGTAGACTTTAAATCTTCTTGTTCTATTGATAGTAAAATGGCCTTCTAAAAGGAATTACTAGTGGAACTACGCGAAATATATCCAATGTTATTGTGTACAGTTTGAAGGTTTGTATTTAAAAGTAATTTTTTAATCTCTTTTAGTTGTATGGCATTTGTCCCACCGACCACGGAACGTCAAGTTCGTACGATGAGAAGTAATGATACAATGGGCAAATGATTTAGCCTAGAAAGAAGGGGTCATTACTAATGTATTATACATTAATTTATCTCGGTAAAATAAAAGCTTCACACTCTTTCATCTACCTATCTATTTGTCTACCCATCACCTCTTATCCTTACGCATTACCCATGTTTAGCAATGCAATGGATGATTTGCTGTAGATTTTTTTCAGGTATCTCTAATGAAATAGCTTCATTTTCTATCTAGAATAGTTTAACACTAACATTCATCTTCTAGGTTTGAAAATCCTTAGCGAAGTATTCGTATAATTCCCCTTAATCGATTTGAGGTCGCTAAACATGACTTCTTAAATGACATAACAGTGCTCCTTTAAAGAATTAGTACATGGAGCACCCAAATGTGGTAAAGGTGTAACAAGTAAATTAGTGAAATAGGTGACCAGCTTATTCCACTAAGCACCTTTTGAACAGAAATATAGGTAAGGAAAAGGTTACTGTGAAAAGCAATTCCTTGGAATGGTAGTGGATCATAGAAGCCAATTAAACCAACATCCAATTATATTAAAAAGGATAGCTTGAAAATAAAAGCAAAATAAACTATAAATAAGGTAATTCTGGGACATGAAAGAAAGATTCTCTAAATACTTGCATAGGCAATTAAAATTATCTTCTTTTCGTGGAGACAAGAACGTAAGAAGTTACATACATATGGCACAGGGAGGGATGCGGTCACAAAACCGCGGTTCTGAAGCAGTACAACGAAATTAATTATTGTAGAAGGCTAATGTGCACAATTAGACTCTAAGAAATTGGGTAAGTTCTATGATTGTATCATTTTCATTCGTGATCTTGGTTACAAAGACTGAACGCAGCTACAAAAAATGTGTAACTTGGTGTGCAAAGAAAATGAATACGCAGTTACATCAGTCAGTACTACTAAAGGTTTCCTTCTCTGCAAATGCTTGTGGATTTGTGAAGGGTTAAAAAAATGTGTAAGGGGTAACCTTTACACTGGGTAATTCAGAGTTGCGCTGAATAGGCAGATTTGAAGACGATCCCGAAAGGCACTTGATAGAGAAACAGAAATTCGCAGACAAGGTGGCCTCCATGTCCCTTTCTAAAGCGGCTTTCTATTCGTCTCACTTTCTAATCGGGATGCCTGTCTCATACTCCCCAAAATTTTAACTTATTTGTCTCCGAGAAAAGTTCATCTTCGGAGCTTCCTTTTCTTTTATTCATCAAATGAGCATTTTAAATGTGACTAGGATCTACTTTTAGCGTAAACCATGTCTTTGCGGAGTGATTTTCCTGAAAAATCCCTGTTGACCTTCCATATGTCAGTGCAAATTTATTTTTCACCAGATGGCAAGACACTGCAATGTTAGACCAGGTCCCATAAACTCGAGGCATGCTGTTTTTATTCCGTTCAGATCAACAGCGCCTTGTCCTGCTTTAAACTCCGAGCATCGACTTGCTAGTTGGTTGAAGGTAAACATTTCGATGAAACTGCCAAATATTCCACATCGTTTCCTTTGTGTGTAAGTAGTTAGAAGTGAACCTGCTTAATTCAATTTTGCTCAGCCTTATGCATTTTACAAGACCGGGTTTCGTAAGCGCAAGAAATGCTTTCTACGCCATTCAGGTCAACAGAGCACTTTTTATTTAAAACTCACGGGTTAGGGGGGAACTGTTTAGCTAAATGCAGTTCATAACTGTGTCAATAAATTTGACAAAAATATTCAAGAGTTAAAGTTCTTTACATATTTGCCTGTCGGGTTATATCGGGGAGAGTAGGTAGATTACCCCAATATAAAAACAGGCCAAACAAGTATTACACTTTTGAATGTACTTTGCAGTGGATTTTGAAAACTTATTTATTTCAGTAGGCGGCTGCACGTCTATTGTAAAAAGCGACGTCACTGATACAATGTCGGAGTCTTTGTCCTTTATTAATTTTAATAACAGTATAAAAGCTTCTTCTCATCAGCTTTCTTCGTTTAAGTAGAACATTTCACTGAGGTTGTGTACACACTGAATACCATCCAAGTAGAAACGTAAAACTATTCGATGCATGTGTAATACGCTAGTGGTTTATCCCTTGGTTCTGGTGAGGCGCCACTTTTGGACTTTGAATTAGCCCCCTTGTACCTCGCTGGGTGGGCTGGCCTTTTGGGCCATGCCAATAGCCCAAACACCTTTTCTGCGCTGAATATACGTATTCTGCACGAGTATTGTGTCTTCTTTCGTCTT